AGCAGTCAGATGAGGAAGCACAAATATGGGAGTCATTAGAAAGCTGTGATGATCAGCAATGATGTTAATGATGACCTGGTTGTTATGGCTGGGATTAACTGCAATACCAGTAATTAGGACAGTTATTTGGTTGCATAATCAAAGATTCAAAAGAAGTTGTTTTTACTTACTTTTCAACCTACCAAGTAGTGTTTTCTGATAAATCTCGTGTTCTGTATTGTGTTATTGATTATTACAAAATTAGGGCACTTTGTTAATATGTGAGTGAGGGAGCTGTAATCTTTTTCAGTACAGAATATGTATAACGAAGTTATGAATATAAGTGGAAAAGTCCTTCTTCACTGGATGTTGCCTATAATTAATTTTTGTGTTACTGACTGTTGTGAGTTGATCAGCTCACAACTGGTGATGTAGTATTATAATAATTTCGCTACTGGTGTTTGTGGCCATCAAAGTAAATACAAAATATTGTATTTACTCATATCTTACTGCAAAGCCCCTTTCAGTTCTTAACAGCACACACGCATATCAAATTTTAAAATGTAAACACAATTATTAATTATAAATCTATATCAACATTTCTATCTCAAAAATATCTTACAATTGACATTTTATTACGCTGTGAAATTTATTTAGTTTAATTCACAAAGAAAACTGAAAACATGTACCAACTTTCACCTCTGTACACTTCCAAGGCGTTTCATCTGTAAACAATGCACTTCTTAATTTTTTGTTAGAATGTTTCTGCCCAACCCATTACAAAGGTTTATATTTACCACATATATATATATATATAATTTCTTGAGAATATACTTATCTATGTCTTGTTACTCACGTAATTTTCTTTCTCTGTCAGTGGTTTTATAACTATAGCCTTTTGTTTTTACCTTTTTATTATATTAAAGCACATGGTCTGACCAATCATTAAAGAAACATAGCTTTGCAAAACAACCACAGACAATGTTTGAATATGACTGGTTAGAGCAAAATATACAGAAAAGGCATTTGAGCAGTATTTTATGGCTTTATAGAAAATTGACTACCTGGTGCTTCTGTAGAGATGAACAAAGTAATCTTATGAGAACATCAGAAAATGTAGGAGCAAACCATAAGTGTTTGTGTATTAAATTATGTATGTTTGAAAGCTACAGATATTTCTTCCATGGAAAAACACTAAGTAAGCTAAGTTAGGTTTAACAAATATGAAGATGATAACAAAATATTCCAATAACTCAAATCCTTATTTACCGAGCATTATTGTTAAGTTTATCGCATTCAAACATTAATATTTGCCAAATTATCCAGATGAGTCACTTCTGTAGAAGTAGACTATTCCAAGAGTTTCTTATTCGATGGTCTAGAAGACATTAGTGATTATCTAGCAGTCCCAAAGATCCTGAATGATAACCTAGTATTTAGCCCAGCAGAAATAGAGCTAATTAATGTAGATAAGTTTCTAATCCATTCATTTGGCACACAGGTTTTGACAGAAGCCATAAATTGATGGCTCCCATTGAGCCCTGACCAACTGTCAACCTCCATAGTGCCGTGAGATGTACCATATGAGTAAAAAAATCAGCGCCTGGCCGTACCTCCTGTTATTTGTGATTACTACCAAAAATTCACTCAGTGCATCTGAGAATATAATACCACATAAATAACCATATTACGGTTATGTACAAGTTTAAGTCACGATAATGAATACAATATGCTTATACATCCAGAACACATTATAAAAAGTGACATCTTCAACTTGAAAATTATAATTTTTAACTTAGAAACTTTTTGTCATTTAATTCAAACGATGTCGTAGAATCAGCAGAATTAAACTGTTCATCAATAATTATCTAGGAAGTAGAGGCCTACAAATTACGATTACATTAACATTTTTGAATGACGAAGAACACTTAGTTGATCTGCTTACTCGGTTTATTCAAAAGATTATCAATGATTTCTATCCCGGTTCACATAGGATTCTATCTGCACGTAGTTTTCATAACATAATTAGTATACTTGATTTCAACTTAAACGATGATCCTTAATTTGAGTTACGATACTGATTATAGTATACATGTCTCCTTGAATCAAACGATATTGACTGTATTATGTTTTATCAACTTAATTCAGACGGTATTACTTTAGAGTTCACTTTATCGCTTTAAATCCAACGATACTCATTTTGGTGTTCTTGGCCTTATTGAATCAAACGATATTAAAGAAAACATACTGTGGCTCACACAGCATTGTAGGATCAGTATATTTCTTTGTGTATGTATGTGTGTGAATCATCGAATCAAGGGATGCAGTTGTTATGGTATCTTGATCAATATATTTTAGTGATCGAAACTGTACTAAGTGAAAAGAAACTTTACTAACAGGTGACTTACCACTTAATCACTGAAGTATTAAACATATATAAAACGAAATATTTTATTAGTAGGTTTACAATTAGATCTTTAAGCAATACTCTAGTATCAATATATTATTCGTAGCTAGCAAAACGAAACATTAATATTAGTAGATTTGTCTGTAGTTCTTTCAACGATACCATAGCATCATTATAAGTTTTTATTGTGAATAGAGCGACATGATTTCTTTACGATACTGTAGTATCTATAAAGTATTCGTCAATAATAAAATAAACTACTGTATCAGTAGCTTTGCTATTGGTCAAACGTTATTGAGGTATCAATATATTTAATTCGGTAATAAAAAAAAGCTAGTTCCTTGGACCTTTTATTATTTCATCAAAGATCTTTAAATCCATTAATAGATTACCAGATCATCCGGTGATTGTCTAAGCCGTGTAAATGCAGAAATGTAGTCAAATGCTGATTAAAGTGCAAAGCAATGAGTAAGACCAAAAATTTTTGTACGTCCACAGGGACACGTTGGTGGGCGCTCATTTACCAAGATCGTCATTATAAAATACCATCTTTTGAGTGATTTTCCAAATCTTCCTGGCGTCTCAATATATCGCCAAGCGTACCTGAAAAAGAATACTCCTGTCACCAGGAAAGGATTAGGCCGCTAACAGCTGGTAACTTCTGGACACAAAGAAAAATCGATTGTACATGCTTATAAGGTGCAATAGGCATTAAACTGTCTCCCTTCAAACCGATTCCTCCAACAGTGGCTAGAGATGTTGTTATAGCTATCATATGGTAACCAACAACCAGTTTGAAAATACCTTAACTCAGATATAAACAGGAAAGCACAAATTCAGTAGACGATGATCTGAAGCATGAGATATGGTCTGATAACTCACACTTCATCATTTTCGGTACTTATTAACGTTAAAGTTAAAATATGGCACTTAACCCTGTTTATGTTGTTCTCACAGTGCAAGCTGATGAAGGTGGGGTAAAGGTGTGGGGAATAATTTAGTGGCAGGAGCTGAGTTTATTTATTTTTTATTCCTTTACAGTGGCAGATCCCATAGAAATTATACTTGAATAATATTGTAGATTATGTCCACTCCACAATACTGCAATTCCAGTGGATGGACAATGGTATAATATATTGTACTCTTCCTGTTGGAAATGGGTTAGAAGAGCATAAAATTGATTTCGTTCCTCTTCTTAGGCCAGCACAGGTATTATATCTCCACCCAAAGGAGCACCTTTGGAATGGTCTTGTATCTTAATTAGAATAATATTTATTGTCCTGTTTGACTGAAATATGGTCAAGGATGGAGTAACTTTCTGCCTGTACCATCACCGAGTTATTAATTCTGCTTGAACAGTAGTACTTACCTGTGATGGGGTGTAAGATAGCTCATATTATAGTGTTCTTTCTTCTTCTTTGTCTTTACCCCCTTATTTATTTATAAGAATAAACAACAATATATAACTGGCGAATATTGTTTCATCAGTTAAATTAAACGAAAAAGACTATTGTTAAATAATCATTTCTGAAAGCATTACTACAAGTATCTTTTTATTTTAAGTTACATATGTTCTGTAGATATTTGTAGATTGTATAATAATCAGGCTATTGTTATCATTGACACTTTTTTTCTTGAAAAAGTTTTACACAGGTCCTATAACTTACTGTGAAGCTTTTAAGTTTTTAAAGCAAATCTTGTGAGGTACTTGGAAACGATTTTGCATGGCCTGATTTTTTAATATGTAAAACGTTTTATGAAATCGAAACTTCACGTAAAATTTCTTAAATATTTTAATTAGTTTATTTTTTAATATTCTGTGACATCACAAAAAAGTTTATACATCATAATGCATAGATTTCGTTATGACGTTACTGATCAATATTTTATGCCCCTTTTGAAATGATGTCAACCAAGTAGTACTGGCCAAGAACAAAAATTTAGTCCTGGATAAAAACTAACATCATAAATATTTCTTTAGTTTCATGCGCTAATAAACTGAACTTTCCAAATGGAGAGCTGTGTGTTTTGAAACGAATTCTGATTTCATCACGTGAGAGCTCTTTAATTCTTTCAGAAAGTGATTATTAATTATATTTGTTTAGGCGATCCCTAGGAGATCCATCCAGTAATCCAGTCGAGATGTTTCGTTAACCCTTCTCCAGGCTGTTATTTTAAGTTTACATATGTACCACAGCATTAATCCCCATTAATGATCTCGTAACAGCAAACCATCAGTATACAAACAAGGGCAACATTTCTATCCAGTATCAGACATTGATATAAGTTTCTGTAAAAAAACAACAATGTTTTAAATAAATAAATAAAATCATAGATAAATTGGTTTTGTTCGAAAGAATATGCGAAGTATACCTGATCTGATGATCGTTCGGAATAAAACATACTATTAAATAGAATAAGTACGATAAAACAATAAGTTATCTGCTGCTCTACATTTCTTTGGAGGATTAAGGTTAACTTTCAGTTGGTGTAAACTATTCACTGGAACTGCTTTGACAGTTCATAAACTTTCCATAGAATCAAACCAAACTCCGAAATCATGACCGTACATTATGTGAAATATATATACAAGTATCATTTATCGAATCATCATCTACATCTCCTGATGACCTTTGTCCATATGTTCACTTTGTGTTTGCAGGAAGAACTGGGCGGTGTGAGGACAACGGCTGTATACAACTTCACAGTCAGCCTGTCTGTTTAATCCATACTGGGCAGCATCCGTGTATGTCCAAAAGATGACTTTAGCCAGAGGAATGATCTCAGTGTCTTCCAGCTCATGTTCCATCCTAAAACATTTTTAACTATTTAGTTATACATTTATTGGAGCAGAATCATCCCACATAATGAATAAGGCAATTTTAGTTAAAAAAAGCTAAATGGTGTTAAAGAAGTAAAACAATGAACAAAAACCAACCTTATGGAAAGGTGAAGATCTCCTTCAACAGAAGCTGGTTAGTAAATGAGCTGTGTAAACCATTCAATCATACTATCCAACTTTAGATTATACATAAACGGTGGATAGTACATTGTATATTCTAGTATGTATACCCCACCCCTCTTTCCCCATATTAGGATTTTTCTAATGAGAAGTAAAACCTAAGAATGACAGAATATTTAAGTTTTATATCAAATTGGGTTACTTATTTTTGTTTTTGAGAATAGCTTTTTCTTTAAATATTTTTTGGAGACAAAGAAACAAATTACAAACTTATACGAGTAAACTGATATCGTTCACTAGCTGAAGAGGTAACATTTTACCCCAAACTGCATGAAACTTTCAAAAAAATTAAACATAAATATCTGTTCTAATCAGCACTGCAGGATTTAATTCAGTTGGAATTCTTAAGATAATTTATTTAGCTGTAAAATGTATGTTTTTATTATTCAAGTGTGGTTATTTCACAATTTTGGGTTTTGACAAGGTAACTTTGGTTAAAACGTAAACGATAAATATAATTATTATTAAATGCAATTTTTATGAAATATTTCTCGTATTATCAAGTTCATGAATACATACTAATGAAATTATTCATTTGAATGAATTGCGTATTAGCATACGTAAAGAGGCAACAGTTAAGGTAATATATTTAACAAAGTTGACCAACCTTACTTTCTCTTGTTCCAGATTCTAAAATTGTGCATCATCTTACACATAACCAACAATTGACCTTAACACCCTTATCTCGAATATTAAAATATATACATATATAGTTTACTTTCTCAGACCTAAACTTCCTGTTTTTATATTTTGCAGCAACGCTCTTCGTAATTTTATCCTTTATTTAATAAACAGATAAAGTAACATATCGTTTTCAATATTTAGCTTTGTAATCTTAAAATTTTCTTTATTTTCCTTCTCTTTTTAAATAGGCTTAGCATCACAACCTTTTGTATAGATATTGTTGTATAAAAGTAAGGTGTTTAAGTTTCCTAATTTATTGTTTGCATCGATTCTTTACATGCTCTATAAAGAGTAAGTAATATCTCCTTGGATAACACTGATAATATCTAACCGCAAAGCATGATTAACGTTTTATAGGTATTAATCCTGAAACGTATTTTTTATCTTGTTTTTTCAAACTGTAAAATATATGCGTTATGAATAAGTTATTTGTAGTGTACAATTTTGATCCCCCCCCTTTTTACTGGAAATTCATCTGTTATTTATCCAATTCATATATAGATTAAATTCTAAATTATTGGTGTTATCTCACCTAAGTTTACGAGAAAGTAATTCAAATGGTTAAACTTATTATTGTCTTAACGTACATTTAGGGTTACTAACATAAACATTGTGGTAAGCTAGCTAGAATCTGCACAAGATGATAAGTTGGAATATGAAGATTAACTTCTAACCTGATTAGTTCGATAATTTTATCGCCAAAGTTGCCTAGAACTGATTTACGGCCTTCACGGTGTGCCTCGCAGATTGCTCGAAGTTTACATTCATTTTCCTCTATGTTGTACTGATGAAAAGTATTTTCCAATTCGGCCATGATGTCGTACAAGTTTCGAGCATACAAAAGCGCTTTCCCAGCTCTGTCCCACAAATCTCGTTTATTTCGATATGTAACTGTTGGAGAATAGACTCGCCTGAAGGCAAGGTTCGTTCCAAAGAAAGGTAACAACGATTGAGCACCCATTGCAAGAAGGGCCATTAAAGGTACCATCACAAGACCGGCTAAAGCCAAATCGCTGGAACCTCCTAGCAGATCCAAGAGTCCTCCGAGTTGCCTGCCAACTTCAGTCAGTGTGGCATCCATCTCACTGTCGTCACTATTCTTAGAGGAGTCTTGGCTGGAGAATACCATGGAAAAAAGCCCCAGACACAAGAAAAGGATTACCTGAAGGTGTACCCGGTTGTTCATTTTCTGTAAAAAGTTACAATTCAAGTTCTTTGAGGAAACAGAGAAAGACAAACTTGTTAAACAACGTCTTTCAATCAAATAAAAGTGACAAAGGTGGAAATTAATATAGAAAGATTAGCTTCGTATTAAAAATTTAGAGAAGAAAAAAATTTTACTTGTATTTTTGACAAAACTACAAAGGCTATTTGCCGCTTTTCCTAATTTTGAACTTTAGATCAATGGGAAAGCAGCCAGTCAAGTCAGTTACTTCCTACCACCCTCCACCCACGCTAAGGGATTTACTCTAACTTTCATAATGCACCTAAATCTCACAGTACGGATATAATGTGTTGCATCGCACAGTTTCGAACCCGGCTTGTAAGCTCCGTTAGATCTACCACAGCTTATTTCTGTGCTTAAGATTTAAATATTGTTTAGGTAAGTTTTTTTGATGAAATGAAAGGAACTTATTTTGTTAACAATGATGCAATGAACTTATTCTCAAATCATTGTTCAGGCAAGTTAGAGCTTTTAAGAGATATATTAAACAATGTAATACCTAACAATATTTCTCATAATATTAAAGAACAGTTAACTCAAACGTAATCTAATAAGCCAAGGTAAGTATAAGCAGTATGAGAAAAAGAACTGGAATGACTAAATTATTTCAGTAATATTTTACTGATACGTAGTTTTTCTTGCTACATTGAAATTTACAGTTTTTGTTTCATTTTTTCGTTATTTGTGTGTCCAGAAATATCAACTACAAAAATACGTTACTCAGAAATTAATATAGTCTGGGAGAACACACAGCTCTCATAGTTTGTAATTATAATGAGACTAGTCATTAAAGAAAAGGCTTATTGTTAATATACATGAAAAGGTAGGAAAGGAAAAAAAATATAGAATCATTTATTCAATATACAATTACTTATAATATAGTATTTCTTGTTTTTTAACCGATAGATTGTTGTATAACTTGATTGAAATCAAAATACTTATTTTAAACTTACTGGATTTGCGCAACTTTCTCCCTCTCTCGGTTGATGATAGTGGACGAAGCGTATTGAAGCAAGAAAAACACTAGACTGACTGAACTCAGATTGGTCAAATACAACTATATATACTCACGGAAGTTAGAGCAGATTCCCCGAGGTAGAATTCCTTCCATGTTGCTAAGACCACTTTCATTAACGTAATAATCGTTGTTTACTTCCCTGATCTGCCTTCTCCCCTCTTACCTTACCTCCGTTCTCTCACCCGACAACTCCTTTCGGGTGAGAGAGCGAAGACCCCACTTTTACCTTTTCCACTGAATATCGTAATGTAAAAACAGGACTTCAGTAAATAGAATGAAACAAATAGTCTGGATAGTTTACGAAGTATTGTCATTTCTGTTCTATTGTTACTTTGTTAAGTGTTAAACCAGTGAATATACCTTCAATTCTTTTTGGCCGTCAGCGAAAGTTTGTGAAAAAGGCAGCGACAATTTTTTTTTGTCTCTACAAATATTGTGACACGCGTGTTAACTTAGTCATCATGTGAATTACATCATGAAAGGTTATGTGCAATTTTGTAATGACAATAATATATAAGTATATATATTGTTATTACAAACGTGTTATATATATGTGTGTAATACAAATAATGATACAAAGCTATATAATATGCAATATACATATATATATATAATTAAATCTGTAGTCCGGCTATATATATGCATGTACACTGTCCTAGCTAATCTATGTCCTCTTGTAACACATTCATGTATGTCACGTATTTTGAAAAAAGACAGGAAGTTTTATTTATGACTCTAGTAGGTAACGATCTGAAGAACTGATACTTTTTTATAAGCCACTATTTTTTCACTGCGAATAATGTTTATTGTTTACTTTTAAGCATAAAGCTGCAAAATAGTCTATCTGCTCTATGCCCACAGTAGGGATCTAACCTCGAATATTAACTTATTATCCTCTAATCTACCGTTGAGTTATCATACACACTAGAAAAAAAAAGACGTCCAAGTTTTATTGTGTGCTCAGTGGTTAAGTTATGTTATGAAAATGTTCTTCTAGTGAGCTGCTTGTTAAACACTGGAAAGCTGTTGGAAACTTCGCAAAGTTAGTTAAAGTTGTTCAAATGCTGCTCATTTATCGGTTAATAGCACTACTCACTATTAGATGACTAACACACAGCCAGGCTTAGTATTATCTCTGTCTCGGGTTGAGATTGGACTGGTAACTCATCTGGTAAATAACAACTATAATTATTCATAATAGCGAAATTAATCTAAGGTTGTTGACTGATGTTCTGTTTCTGTGAATGAGCTTTAACAACACCGGGCACCTACTGGTTTCAAGTACTTTCACAACTGCAAGTCAAACTATTTGCTGCCAGCTTGCTATGTAAACAAAGGGAAATAGAAAAACAATAACACCTTGTTATATAATTCAAAATAAGAACGAAAGAGATCAATTTTCCTAACCTGTTTTTTATTTAATTAAACAGTTTACAGTTATACGAATGTGGCTGTTTTTGTAAACGTATCCGTTCAGCCAATTGACAGCTTTAGACAAGATAAAAATGCGTATATAATATGAATGTGGTTTTATGTAAACCAAGAATATACTAGATAGCTGACTGTTACAGTTAGATGAAGATATGGACATATGTTGACTTTTTTTGAAAAACAAACTTGGTAAAATGACAAATATTTTATTGGTACTTGACTGGTACCTTATATCAAGGTTAATTTTGTTTTTTTGGTAGTTGACTGGTACTTTATAACAAGTTAATTATTTTATCGGTAGTTCACTGGTACCTCGTACCAAGCTTGATTGATACTTTGTAGCAATGTTAATATTTCATTGTTAGTTCACTGGTACTTTAGAAAATATAAACATTTTATTGGCAGTCGTCTGGTACTTTTAACTTGTAATAAATGAATACGGTATATATTTTTACACCTTATTTACTTGTTACACACGTTTGTTTGTTTATTTGCTTGTAGTTAAGCACAAAGCTACACAATGGGCTATCTGTGCTGAGCCCACCACGGCTATCGAAACCCGGTTTCTAGCGTTATAAGTCTCTAGGCTTACCGCTGTGCCATTGGAGGGGGTTGGTACAAACGTTAGATGAACGAACTGTTTATACGCCTCTGTTTATTAGTTTATTCAAAATATATTTATAAGTCAACTGTACGACAACAGTGTAAGCGCCGAAAAGGTATGACGTGTAATAATAATTCCCATAATAATTTATCCCCTTTATACTCTTCAACGAATGTTCTTGTTATATTTAAAACACAGTTACACGACACCGTACATGCTACTGTAAAAATAAAATGATAAGACAAGTGAGAGTTAATATTGTTACGTCTTTGTTCGTTTGTTAATTTCCCGTAAAATTTCTTCCCGAAAAACTTCAGCGATACAAGTTCTTTTTTAAATAAAACTAGTTTATTCTTTCTCAATACAACTTTGCGATACACAGAATTTCCACAGTCACTTTCACTTAAACACACGCTATAATTCACAACGATTCACGCACTTTACTTACGACTTGACTCGATTATCTGTTATATAAAATAAAATAGGTTTTGATACAACTAATTACCCTTTTTCAGAAGATAACTTTAATATTCTGGCAGCTGGTCTAACCTAAAGCTAATAACCAAATAAACTTCCTTTATTCAACAACAAAACACTCAACTAAATAATGCAATTTGTTTTCCTGTTAAGTATGTTATTTTGCCATGTTTTTTTTACTGCACCATTGTTTATTTCTTTGTATTGAACATTTCTTTATATTACAAGTAACGGTTCTCAATTACTGTTTTTATTTTAGAGTATGCTGATGATGGGATTGGTATATTAAGAAACGTCTATTGCTGTAAATAAACCTGTTGAGAAAAATGTTTGCTATATCGTGGTGCTTCTTTCTTATAATCAAATTAGCAGAGGCTCGCAAAACGTTTGCGGTCAAATTAGTATCTTTATTGCAACAGTACTTCCTTAAACACAAGATTGCTAGAAGAATATAAAGAATTCATCAAACACCGCAATCTATAAGTCCACTTGTCTTAGGCCTAACATCAGTTAAGCCTTTATTACATACGGCCTATATTCGATTAAGAGGTAAATTAACACTGTAACTTGTTTACGTCATTTGCTTCAGTTTAGTTAGGGCTAAACTTTACCGGTCTTAATACTATCAATGTTATTCTATGACCTCTAACATTAGACCTTTTTAAAAACTTTGATCAGCTGTTGTATAAAATGTCTACTAAAGTATATATACATCCGCCTTTTGTTTACATCCGTTGATATGAAGTGCGCGCGCATTTTCAGAACAGACAGAAACTGAGTATTATTATAATAGATTAAGGTTTCTGCCCAGTGAATCCATTGGAAGAAGTACCTGTTTTGTTTCAGAATTAGTGATACAGCTATAAGAAACATTGGTGATAGTCTGAGTAGAAAAATGAAAGAAATTACAGATAATTACTGCTTATCGTCAATCCAAAGTCTTGAAATAGATTCTTATGTCACAAAAACATATAATAGTAGTAATGAAGCTACAGGATTTACAATTCGCGGTGATAAAAAATGTCAAATATGTACTTCTACATTCAGAAGAAATATGACGGATATGAAATGCTCTTATTTCGACAAGAAATCATTGAGTGAAGCTATATTGTGCTATCTGCTTTGTACAACGTGACGAATCGAACCCCGGATTTTAGAGTTGTAAGTCTTTAGACTTACTGCTGTCCCACAGAGGGACAAAAAACCATAGACTTAAGTATTATACTTGCATGCTAAATTGCTTAATTTTCTGTCTTCCGGTGGGACAGTGGTAAGTATACGGATTTACAACGCTTCGGTAGACATAGCAGACAGTCAGACATGGCTTGGCTATAAGAAAAACACGCACATGCTTAATTTTCGATTATCAATATG